AAGCCAGTGCCTTGCAGGAACAGAAGCTTTTATGCAGAACCTGATCACTCTCTCGATAAACTTGATTTCACATCTCTGTGTCTGCTGGTGGCTCTTACATCACAGTAAGTAAATTGTGCTTTTAATAAATGGCCACCACTTATGTTTGTCATACGTTGCATGTTAAATTTAATACCTTGTAATAGCACCTTCCAACAAGTAGCCAAACAATCAAAGCTACAAAGGTGATCAGTGGGAGGTATGCTTTCAACATCTGAGATGCTATGTAAGGAATAAAAAACCATTTGGTCTTAAGTATCTCACATTGGATGTTGAGCAGTGGGGCATGAAAATCTGCACTTCAGGTTAAGATCTGTAAAATGGGAATAACACCTTCATATCTCACCAGTTATGGTGGCAGCAAGGACTCCTGCTGACACAAAGTGACAACAGTGGACAGTAACGTCTTCAAAGAAGGCAGCCTCCTTTACAGGTAACATGCCTGAAGTAAACAAACTCTCCTTTTCTGCTTCCCTCCTTAACACTGTCTCTCTCCCACTCCTCCCAGCCCACCATGGTCTAGTCTCTATGCTGTGCCCAACTTACTGTTCCAAAACCGGGACTTTTGCCTAATTTCTTCCAGTCCCTGCTACTCAAACATATGATTCCAGTTCACTTTCATGTCCCACTTAACTCCAGTCTGTGCCTGTATTGTCTTAACCCATTTCCATGAGAACACTACAGCTGCAGTTGCTACTCCTTCAGTAGCTCACTGAACACGGGTGAGGGGGGCAGAGGGTTGTTAACATACTCTGAAGACTGGTCAGGCAGTGCAACAGCAAGCTAGTCATCGCTAAATGTTGTGGGAAGTTTGCACATGGCTTATTTGGTGTGGGATTCAGAAACTGGGAGAAGCCAGCCTGGCACTGTGAGCAGTGGTGCATCCCATGGGGTGAGTTTCCTGATAACGTGATGTAGGACAGCCTGCTCACACCTCCCTGCAGCCACAGAGGCTGGGAAAGGTTCCCCACCCTGCCTACACTATATGATATCCAAACAGTGGTAATGAGACCCCGCTCCTGCCGGGGCACGACAGCGTGACAATAAGCTACAGCTTGCTTTCTCAGGGGTTTTATACTCCTTTTGTCGGGTGATGATGCTGCGGCAAGCAAGCTCTGAGCCGTCCACGGCGCGGAGGCACGCAAAAACCTCCCAGCCGGGAGGGGGAGGTTTGAAAAGGCACCGAATTAATGTCTTTGTCACAGACGGCTATCGGAGCCGGCCGCGGAAGCGGGGCGAGGGGCGGGCGGGCCGGGCGCGGAGGCGCACACCTTCCCCTCCTCGGCCTTTCCCTTCCTTTTCGCTGCCCTTCCCTTCCCCTGCCCTCCCCCCCCCCGGCCGCCCGCCAGCAGCAATGGCTGCACGGCCGCGGCGCGGAGGCGCTGGCGCTCAGCCCGGCCCGGCCGCCGCTCCCGGGCTCGGCCACCGGCCCCGGCGGTGGGGGGGGGGGGGGGGGGGGGGGGGTCACCTGGCTGAGGGGGCAGTCGCGCCGGGAGCCCACGGGCAAGCGGCCGCATCCCTCAGGAGGAGCGCGGAGGCCGGGCGAGAGCGGGCTCGGCGGGACGGCGGCCGGCTGAGGGAAGGGGGGGGGGCGGGCGGCGATCCCGCCCTCAGCCTCCCTCAGCCGCCCCGGCCCCTCCTCAGGCCACGCTTCCCGCCGCTCCGCGGCCTCCCTGGGCGCCGCCCGCCCACCCCGCCACCGCCGCCCGCTCACTTGTCCCTGATGATCGTCTGCAGCTCCCGGAGCTGGTCGTTCATGGGCAGCAGCTTCAGCTGCGGCCCGATCGGCGACGCGTCGCCCTCCCCGGCGGCGGGGATCGCCGCCGCCGCCACCCCGTTGCTACTGCTGCTGCTATCCGGGCTGGGGCAGCCGCTGTCCTCGCCGGGCTCGGCGAAGCGGATCAACCGGGAGCCGCCTGCCGCTGTCGCCGGTGGCTCGTCCTGCGGCCGCGGCCCGAGCGGCGGGTTCTGGCAGGGCATCGCCTCCATGCGCGGGGGCGCGCCCGCCCCCCACCCCCCCCCCCCGCTGCCGCCACGCGCCGCGCCGGCCCCGCTCGTTCGGCCGTTCGGGGGGGGGGGGGTGGGGGAGTGTGGAGCGCGCCGGCCAGCCCTCGCTCTATTGGCTGGCGGCGCCGCCACTCAAGACCGCGGCGGGAGCGGGGCCGCGGGAGGCGGGGCAGGGCGCTGAGGGGAAGCCCGGGGCCGGTGGGCGCCGCCGGGGTCTGGCGGAGGGAGCTTCGCCCTCGGCGGCTCCTCCCGCCGGCTCCGGCTTTCCGGCAGCTTTTCCCCCGAGATCCCCTGTCATCTGCGGGGCCCGCTCGGCGAGGGGCTGAATGCCGGCCCGCCAAGCCTGCCGCATGGCACCGAAGTTCTGCCTCAGGGGTTTTTTCTCTTTTCAGTAGCGTTTTCGTTGGGTTTTGGGGACCTTTCAGGATAATGTAAACCATAATAGACATCAGATTAGCGCGGGTTCACAGAAGAAGAGGTAGGATTCAAGGAAATCCGAATATGTAATTGTGGATTTCTCCTGAATACAAACACCCAGTTGTCAGAATTAAGTGTATGTCTGCAGAGACGCTCTGGATCAGCCCAACCTGCAGCACAGGCTCTCGGCCTGTTGATACGAGTCCAGTATTTCCACCTTATCAAGCTCCCCGGACACACGCTACACGGCACATCCTGCGTGTGGGCAGGGGAGCCCTGAACTCTGGTCAAATCCCAGTATTTGACAAAGCTCTAATGCCCCTCTGAGGGAGATTTACAAAATCACTCGACAAACGTACATTGTTAAACCTCACAATACCGTTCTGACACAACTGTATTATTACAGTCTTGTCTTCGCTAAATGGGGAGCAGAGAGCAGGTTCCGTACACCCGTACGCTGTGTCGGCGACAGAACCTGTTACATACTTCCAAAAAGACCCTACAATTGAAGATGGAAAACGTGCATTCGATCGTTCAGTTCGTACTCGCTGTAGTACAGACTAGCACTAACTTTTTTGTCTAACATAGTTTTAGAGTTCTGAAGCAAGCCCCAACTGCACAAGAAATAAATATATTTCTCTCCTGAAATATGAAGAGGAACGTTCAGTGTTCTGATGGAATATGGAAGATGACGTTCTGTCATTCATCTCACACTGAAAAAACACACCAGCAGACTGGTGGAGAGGAGGCGATTAATTTTGAAAACGGGATTGAAAGCGTGAAATGCTAGCAGCTTAGTTTACAGATAACTAAGGAGTGACTACTCCGTGCTGTAAACATGTGAGAAAGGAGAGAAATCGCTCATGATGGAAGAAGGCAGGAGTACTGGAATAACGGGATCAAGTTAAATACAGGCAAGCTAAAGATAAATATCTGGCAAGTAACTGTCATCATGGAAACGTGATAGGATACTTGGTATCTCCTCATTTAGGATATTTAGACTGAAAATGGCTAAGACATCGGAAATCGATCTGCGCTGCAAAACCCGGCACTACGTATCTATATGTGTACAATATCAAATGGCTAGGCGGTAGCTATTTGATGAAAAATTTTATCATTAATCATTTGATTATTCCATTATCATGGGCTGAGCAAAAAAATCAGCTTTAGAATTTCCATTTTCTGTGCTAATGCAGAGCGGTTTATTTTTTCGACACTTTCAAGGCTAATGAGGTACTTAATATATTTGAGATTAATATTTTCCCTGCAAATTTTGCCTTTCCCTGCTGTTCCTTCTTCAGTAACTCTCCCGTGCTGCTGGATTTATTTCCTCCCCTCTGCTACTTCAGGCTTTCTTCCAGTTCCGATCTTCTCTTTCTCCTTTTGATACCAGTGTATTTACAGGATACCAGATGACTGATACCTGTGCAAGGCACCGCACAAGCCCCGAGCGAGACACAGAAAGAGAAAGAGGCCACACGCCTGTCGCGGTCAGAAACATGGCAACCCCTTCTCTCACAGTGACCTAGCCAGGAGAACAAAGCTCATGCTGTAGACACAGAAAGCTAACAGAGGAGTTTTATAAACTTGCACTGTTTAAAGTAGCTTGCCAGCAAAAAAATACCTGTTTCTCTGCAGATTTAGCTGTAGAAGCAGAGGATCTCCTTTGAGACGGGCAGAAATCAATGCATGCTCCAGAGCTGTCAATGAGAAGACTTTACAGAGGCAGCTCGGTAGAAGAAATAGAAGCTTTGGGAATGGAAATAACTCACCATGGAGAAGATTTGTGAATAGAGTCCTGAAAGTTATCTAATCCGGACTTTCTCCATACCACCTCCCTATGCACAATAAAATACTGTGCTGCCAGTACTAAAATATTAAATGCTGAAATGTTGTGGCAAACTAACATTGTACTAATTGGAGGGGTGCATTTGGGTATTCTCTGGAGTACAGCCACCAGGCCTTCCTGAGCTGTGCTGACAGCAAACCCGGGTTTGAGAACGAGGTCAGGCTACTGAACAATGACACGTTATGCCCTCCTGTGCTGTACAGCTATGTCAGATATGTCTCAGTATCCCCAACTGCAAAATTAAGATAAAAAATGAAGCATCCCTGTCATATGGGGTGTTGGCATGAAGACTAATTTGTTCATGTTCTGTCAATACTTTGAAAGCATCATTTGCCTAAGAAAAGATACTGGAAGTGGGTACCTAGGTAGTTTTTTTCCTGTAAGAACTATACATCAGGGTGTTGTGCAGAAGCACAGAAATTGCAGTGTGGAGGTATTACATACCTCATAAAATCAAAGAATTTTCGAGGCAATAAACTGGAATTAATTTATTCTATTTATTTCAAAATAGATGAATGGGGGAAAATGTAGTCAGAATGGACAAAAGGAGTTACGTTTGCAGATGGTTGTGAACTGTGAAATACAGGGCAGAATGAAAGAATGAACTGCAATTAAATAAGAGGTTTTATAAAAAGCTATAAAAATTGGTTCAAATGATTCCCATAGGTATATTAATTCAGGCCTTTTAAAGCATCATTTTTTATCACAGAATACTCAAAGCTGAGGTTGATATTGTTCCTTATAAACCCTTTCTCATCCTGAATATGTTTGATTATGACTGCATTTAATCCTGATCAAGAAACAGTAACAAGCCACATGCTTATTTGTAGTCTGGTAAGAAGTAGAGCTGGCAGCTTGCATGCTTGTGTGAAACCAGCTTCACTGTGCAAAGAATGTACCCAAGTGGAGGCAGCATTGCTAACAGATAATAGGTATATTGCTAATAGGTTTGTGAATGCTTTCTGTTGAGGTACCGGGAGAAATAGTAAGCAATCCCCTTTACTCTGTGGACAGAAGATGGTTCCAACTCACTCCGTCCAAGGAAAAAAGCATTTCTAAAGTTAGGGTTGGGGCACACACTTCACGGGGAATGTTAAAATGAGTTATGAATGCAAAGGTACAAATCTCAGGAAAATCTTGAAAGGTCTGAATACAAAGTTGAGGGCAGCTGGCCTAAAGCATACCTAGCTATAAGTATATCCTTAATATAATGCTTCATGCCTGCTTCTAAATATAGTAACTATGTTGTTAATACATGGACTTCCATATATAGTTTCTTCCTTCATTTTTACCTTCTCTCTATCTTGCATTAGGAATGGTGTCAAGTTATTTATTTGGTAAACACTAAGAGAATTCCCTGGTATGGGCGTGATACGATGGTCCTCAAGATCAGCTTATTGCTGTATTTTACAGTGCTTGGTGTGACTTCCAGTTTTTACAAGGGGTGAAAAAGATCAATGGGCCTATCTCCACGCTTCACAACCCAATTTTAGGGCTGGTAGTAGGTGTTGATGTGGACAGGATGTCTTCCTGTGGTTAAATTCGGTGGAAGCTCCTTAGTATCCAGCAAGGCAGTGGAGAAGGTGCCTGCAGGCTGAGGGATCACAGGGAGTTTATAACAATTGTCAACTAGTGAAAACACAGAGGGTATGACTTTATTTACAGCTAGACCCTTTGAGTACTTGTATTTAGGGAATTATTGCATTAAGTAGATTTGTCTACACTATGCATTGAGTCTTTCGGTACCGTAGTGAGAAATTACTTTTAGAGATGAAGGACGATACTCAAGAAAATGCTTAGAAGCTTTTTTGTTGTTGCAGCACAAATGCATTCTCTTCCCATCTTTTGTTAAATGTCCCAATCTCTGTGTTATCTTGCTTCCCTTACCTTTAGTATATTTTCTTGTCCACAGGGGACTAGAAGAATTAACTAGCAACACGTAGCAGACAGTTGAAGTCTGATATATTGATGTTTATGACTGGCCATGCAGAGTCACCTAATTAACAGTTTGAATTGTAGATGTTTCAGTGCTTGGTTAAAAATCAGGATTAGAGAAAATCAGCATTCAGAGAATGCCCAGCTCCATCAAGGGGCTTGGCCAGGTGCCGCCGCTGGCTGCTCGTCCTGAGGGCACGGGCTGAGATGCTGGTTCTGGCAGGGCATGGTGCCGACAGCTGCCACCAGGTTATGAAGAAGATGACTGCCACAAAGAGAAGGAAAAGGACATGAAATTTGGAACGTCCATTAGTCAGTTCACCCTGGAAAGAAGAGCACGACAGAACAAGTGATAGGAACAAAGAAAAGCTGGAAATTCTTTCTTCCTAGAGAGAGGATATCCTCTAAAACTCCCATTTGGAGTTCTCCAACTTGTATACCCAGAACTCACCCCTAACTATAAAAAGCAAGAAGAGACAAAGAAATGACCTGCTTCTTTTCCCCTCCTGTAACCAAAGCAGGAGGAGCGGGGCTTTGCTACCAACCGTTATGTAACAGAGCCGACAGGATCACAGCTCCCCTGGGGGCACAGGACACAGGCCCTGTGCCCACAGGGAAAGAAGCAGGCACAAGCTCCTGAAGCCCCGTTTACGTTCTGCCGACTTTCCTGCGTGTACGTCCAAATTCTGCACCTCTTGCAGTAGAAGGCGTGCCAAGAAAACCTGGCCTCCGTAGCCACAGCGATCGGGCAGTGTTAGAGCTGAGCACAGCTGGTTTGGACAAGGTGAAAAGCCAAGCGGGGTTTTGCAAGCAGGAGAAACACTTCTGTCCTTCTGCAGGGGAAGAGCCAAGTGCCAGAGATCCTCACAAGCGTACATCTACACAGGGAGGCTGTGGGGACCTCGGAGTGAAAAATGACTCCTCAGGCTTTGCTCATGCAGCCACAGAGCTCAAGCCTGTGTGCCTGCCTGAGCATGAGAAAGAACTCCTGCGAGTGCCCCGTGAGCATCGCCAGAGGGATTGTATGGAAGTGATTCGCCACCAAAACAACAGAAATGTATTAAACTAGAGCACAGCCAAGTTAAGTTTCTGAAACACAGTCAGTGAGTGTCAGCAGCAGAGGGGACAGAAAAAAACTAGAGACAAAAGGCCAGTCTCTTACTGGAACTGTCAGTTGGCATTGCTTGCATATGAATGATAATTGAGAACTGGGTAAGAAGCGTACTTTATTTCAGTCAACTTTTAAATGGAGAAGGGAGTCGCGTGGGGATTAGAAAATGAACAAGGTTTGATATTGTTCAGTAAATACGTACAGGTCAGTGCCAGGTTGATCAGTTGGTATCACACATTCTGAGATGCATACGTGCAAACACAAGACTGGGAAAAGGGAACAACTTTTTGCCAGAAGCTAACTCTACAGTTTGAAATTCCTGCAGTCTGTTTGCTTCTCGCTTTGTGCTTTTCAGACGGATAATGGGAGTTACACTCAAAAAAAGGGCACAGGAAATACCGTAGGGAAGAAATGCAGACCCTCCATTGACTAAAAGCAAAAAAGTAACAGGAGTGACTGAATCCCACCAGACTCATAGGATATGAAAAAGTAACCAGATTTGACAACTTACTGTCCAGTACTTAATGAAATACTTGAAGACTGTTGCGGCAATATACAAGCAATACAACAAAGCATAGGCTAAGAACAGCAGGAAGAATTTGTAGTTAGAAAATCCAATGCAGTTATTCACCCTGGAGAACAAAAGCAAAGTTGGAATCAGGATATGTACAGCACACCGGGGTAACACAATGAATTCTGCAAGTTTTCGGGTTTTATTAGGCCTGGTGAGTATAGATCACAATTTCGTCAATAAATAGCTCCCCTTAGTGGCCAACATGAAATATAACTCAAGTCTCTGCTTTTCGCTTGACAACTTCTTGCCACGCCAAGTCAAAGGACAGTTCATATTTTTGGAATCGGTTTTCAATTTGGTACCACTGGCAAATTTGTCACAGAGGCAGGCTCGAATTCCGCGTGCCTGCTTCTTGTCTGCAAAGGTAATCAGATCTGGGATTTCTGTGTTCCTTTCTACATTTGCAAAGCTCGGGAGCCAGATTCCCCACGGCTTGTTTGCTGACATCCAAAACAAAGAACCCCAAATTTGATTATCACTCTCCATGCACAAGACAAATCGAAAAAGGAACAAGGGAATGCAGGAAAAACAGCAGGTGTTTGTCTCAAAACCCCGGGTTGAAATATCCTCTACGATTTAGGATTACCAGGGAGGTTCGGGTGGGGAAATGCTTGTATTGGTGCTGATTCCTGAAATCCTCTTTTATTTTTTAAAAAAAAAAATGGACGGAGTTTAAGAAATTTAGCGTCAGCAGTTCCCAGAAAGTATAAAACTTATTTCATCCATGCACCATTCTGCACCAACTGTCTCTGACCGTGCACAGGTGGCAGGCATCATTTCAGAAACAATCTGCGTGCAAATATTGTTATTGAATGCAACCAGCAACTGCATGCTGAAACGGCTCTATGCCCAAAACTAAAGGCTAGGTTGCAGTCCCTCTAAAATCTGAATAAATGTCACAGAGTGAATTAGCAGTTGCGTTTTAAGTTATATTGCTGTAACAGCTCTTTGACACGTAGTTTATGGAACAAACGTGAGCGATCTGTCTGTCAAAATCATCAAGCATTTCAGGCAATTTCAAAATGTAATTGTTTGACAAGTTTCCCAACACAGAGGGATGCATGGCCTAAAAGGAGAGGGGCACACAGGCACTCCTCTGTGCAAGAAATGTATTTAAACAACCTCTCTTTGCAGAAAAGTACAAACCGGTGCCTAGGACGTACCACGGACAGTGATGATCCATTTTTAGCACGCATCTGCAAAAGGACAAAAAAGAAAAATGGAGGCTGAGTTCATGCTTAATCAGTTCATTTTCACTAGATGGCATGCTTTCTAGCAGCGCTGAGACACTGGTAGGTGTGGGAACTGCAAACACTTCAGGGCCACAAATAGCAGGAATGCCACCGCTACCGCTGTGGCACCCGAGCGTACGCTGCTGACTGCGGCTGGGCCACGGGTACTCGGGCACCTTCCTGTGTGAGAAGACACGTGAAGGACCAGCCCGGCCACGTAACTTAGTGGTGACTCTGTTCACTTCAGTGAAAAACAATCCAGTAACTTACATAGCACAAACGGAACAATGGTGACAACGATCGGGTTTTATTAGCTGGCATCTATCACAGAATCGAATACCTGAAATTAAAGGCATATTAATACCAAATCACAGAAAAGCGCTCCTTTTTCTTCGCATGTTAGTTAATATTCTGCTCAGTTCCTAACTACTCATGTTCTTTCCTCTACCACTTCAAAAGAGGAGTGCATTTGCAGCTGCTTTTTGCTGCCAGGTCATAATCAGATAAGCAACGCTCGTAATTCTTCGGGAGACGTGCAGATGTGGGGAGCAATCCCCACTGCAACGCGTACAACCAGCTTAAAAGCGATAAAAGAAAATTGTACATTTCCCTCTGGCTTCCACATTTAGTCAGACTGTACATATCATCCATTTTGATAATTGCCTATGCAGCAGGTCTTTACTTCAGAATTCTTTGGATTGTCTGACAGAAATGAACAGGTCAGAGCCTCCAAGTTAATAATCATCAATCTTATTATTCTCAACATGAAAAATCCTATCAGTTCCTGGAAGAACTGAAAAGGCAGCCTTAAAAGTTAACATCATCTCTGCTTTAAACCATGCTCTTTGGGCTGTTAAAGGATTCTCAGAACGGTATATTCCTCTTTTTTCATGGACAGCTCCAGGTCACTTTCCATCCCTTTAGGCAATCCAATCAGCTGTACAGATCAATTAGATGGAAGGATTTTTGAGTTCTCTTTAGTATCCCTGCTTTCATTGTGAAATGAATGAAAAGTGCTTGGACTCTTACCTTTTTGCTTGGCTGCACCCGTAGAGTAAAAAGACTTCCAATATGTCTACGCAAAGAGAATACGGAATGTTATAAGATAGGCCACCATAAACAAACCAACCAGGAGCAGAACAATGTCTTCTTAAGTAAAAGTTTCATTCATGATATGCATAATTCCACTTTTACCGAGGCTGAAGCAATTCCTGAAGAGGAAACAAAGCTGCAGTTATGAACTTCTCCTTTCCTAGCTGTCACACCTGGCGAGCCCTAGAACTTTCACAAAAAGGCACCCAAACCCTACCCAGAACAGTTCTTCCTTACGAACCCCACTGGTTGCAGAAAGACTCCCTCAACAGTCCTGGCTTTTTGCATCCCCCTTCCAGTGTGCTGGCTAAGAGGAGCTGGAGGAACAGTGCTGCTATTTAGTCCATCTTCTCTTTGCCCTGACGGGTGATGTTTCAGAAAGACTCAGGAGAAACTCCAGGCTGCTGGTGACCTCTCTGGGCAAGACAAATTTCCAATCTGCTCGATGGAGCTGTACAAGGAAGGAAGGTGAGGAAGGTCCCAGATTAGTTTTCCAGGCTTCTCCGCTCCCTGATACGTTCCTTGCTCCACCAGTCAACCCCCTCCACCCAAAAAAACACCCAACCTTCCTCTGCAACCCCTTCACAAGGCTAAAATCTCCTTATTGAAGCCAGAAAGTTCCAGCAGGTTATGAGCCTCTGAGGCTCCCATGGCCCAACACAACATTAAAACTGTGCTGCTAATAGGCTCTGATCCCCCAAATTAGTCCGTATCATCTCTCCATTTCCCCCCACCTTCCTCCCAACAGTTCGACTTCAAATTCTAAATCTGTGTTTAAATCGTGCATTTGTCTTACCACGTTTCCACGGCCAAACACCTCATTATTGGTGGCTTCTGAACAGGAGGAAATAAAAGCTTACCTCTGTGCCTTGGCCAAGACGAATGCTCTGCGGACAGAAGGCTCTGTGTTCTCTCATTTCCTTGGCAGGACTGACAACCTCGGCCACTTGAGGGGAGGCTACTGGATTAGCCGGGAGGGAACAAAAAAGGGAGAAAAAAAAAAAAAAAAAACAACAAACCAACCAGCAATGACAAAAAAGGCTCAAGCAAGGTCTAGTGTGTTCGCAGTGAGCCAGAGCACAGGTTAGAACAAAACCTGGAGAAGGCAAAAGGATCGGGACACGTCCAAGTAGAAAGCTGAGCGAGGGAAGGAGGGACCGGTGCGCTGAACGACAGCCCCTGAGGCAGCACGACCGAGCGCAGCGGCAGAGCTGTGGAGCCGCTTGGCTCTCGCCAGCCCCCGGGCTGAACCTCCTGGTGCCAACTGCAGCGTCGGGGTCCCCCAGCCCCCTCTGCACTCCCGCGTCCTTTCGCCCGCCGAGGGGACGCGGTCGGACAGCGTAACGGCAAACAGCGCGGATGGATGGTGCCGGCTCCCTGGGGTGAAGGCTCCTGGACTTCTGCACGGGACTTCGGCGCGTGTGTGGTGAGCCCCACGCAGCCTGTGCACACCTGATTTACTGCTCAGGCATCGATCCTTGGCCCAGCACGTGCCTGGAAAAAAATCAGCTGCTGGGGGTTCGGTATTGATTTGGTCTGCTCACGGGCAGCCACTCCAGTGACCCCGAGGAGGCCAGGCACCATCTTTCATGTTATGCTGGTGTCTGTTTGGGGCGGGCTGCACGAAACAGAAGAAAGTTCAGGCCTGTTCATGGCTGAGGGAGTTGTTCCTTGTAGTGTTCTCGTGAATTATTTCCTTTCTTTAGGAAACATTAAGCTCCTTGTGCCTGGAGGCACCTCATGCTTTATGCTTCTGCTTGAAGTGCAGAGGATGCTCCAGCAGTGAACAGAGGTTACAGAGAGCAGCGCTGATGAAATGGTTGGGTTAATGGGGATGGGGCAGCGATGTGCCATGGCCACGTAGGCCGTGCCATCCCAGCTGCTGCTTGGCCGATCTTCCAAAATAAATCCAGCCTCAGAGAAAGGCGTAAAAGTAAATTCATCTTGCCAGCAGAAGTGTTCTCTAAAATGAGTGTTCATGACAATGCTCACTTCCTTCCAACCTAAACATCCTTCAGCTATTTTCCTGAAGCCCCGGAAGCTTGGGAGGTTCTTTGAGTCAGCTTGCAATTCACCTCTGCATCAGCCTACAGAATCACTAAAGTTCAGCTCTTGCCTCTTTTTAGCCCCATCTAATTATGCAACTCAGCTACAGCGACAACAACAGTTTTGCTGAACGTGCAACAGCCTCGACGTCGTATTTTGGTGTGGGGAGACAGAAGGAAAAGCTGTTTCAAGTTCAAGCGTTTCTACGGGGCTTGACTGATGTGGAAAAGCCAGAGCCCTCTCCGCTGTATCTGAAGTCAAACACCTTCTTCTCGGGGGTCCTGGATGTGCCCCCATCTACCCGAACAGAAAGGTACAAATCTTGGAGTTTTCCCTACCCATGTTTCTTCAGGACTGTAGTTCATTAACGACAAGAAACGCAGATTCATTAGTGTGCATTAACCAATGCCTTTCCTATATTACCACTGCTGTCTCCAATCAAAGAGTCATTTATGGAAAACAAGGGCAGAGGGAACAACACGCTTTGGCAGCTTTAAGATTATACGCCCAGAGCTTTATACCCTCTGTCTTATATTTTTACGTTAAAGTATCATGAGATATTACCATATTTTTCATTATTATTTGTAGCACTAAATACTGCAGCACACAGTGCCAGATGGCTAATATTCAGAACAAAAATAATGCCAGGCCAATCTTAGAAAGACTCATTGAGAATGTAACAGCATGTATTCTACCACCAATACAACACTGGGCAAAAATGCAAAGTGCCAGAACAGACCGAGATGAAATAACCAAAATGCATGACAGATCATTTAAGAAAAAAAGAACAGAAAAATCCCACCCGAAAAAAAAAAAAAAAAAAAAGCCAAAAACCAGAATCCCCTCTGATGTTGAGATAGAGCTTTCATGAGAGGTGGTGGTCCTGGCTGAGGGGCAGCTGATCGGGGCTCGGCATCTCCAGGGAAACACTGCAAACACTGTCTGTATGAAGGCTACTCTCAGCCAAGTGTTTGATGCCATGTGCCTCTACCACGGTCAGCTGAGGAAGCGTTTTCTAGGATCCCAGTGTTGTGCCAGCCCTGCCAACGGTCAGAGGGAAAAACGGTGAGTTTGCTCATGTACAGGGGACTTTGTTCTTGGTGGTCTTCAGACCTTGTAATGGGTGTCATTTTTCAAAAGATGTATGCTTAGCATAACGTTAAAATCCAGCTCTTTTAAAGTGTTTGAAGCAATAAAAATGGACACACTCCAACACATTAGTCACTGGTAATTAGGGTGGGTTGCAGCTGTAATGTGAGAGGTTAAATGGGCTGTTTCAGTGGCTGGCATTCTGGTTAGAGTTTTAGAGACATTCTAGTTAGGATTTGAGATAGTTTTGTTGGCCTGTGTTATCTGTAATGGAACTAACTGACGTGATAATTTTTAAATAATTTGTAAAACAGTATGTTCATACAACACATTTGCCATAAGAAAATATAGGACAAGTCTTAGCGTTAAGGTGGACAAAAACATGTTCTTTTAAGAAGAAAATCAAAATGCCATTTTTGGAATATAACCAAACATTTAGAAATACAGCTAATTTATACTGGTTATTAAATTGACTATAAAACATAATTCAGACTGCACTTCAAGTGTATGTGTACCTGCTCTGTTCTTAAATGTAAGGGCTGAAGATTAATAGTTCACATTTTTCTATGAATAAGTACAACAGTACCTGTCTCCAAATCATTGCTGTGCCTTTCGGCACATATTCTACTTGTCAAAACTAATTTTATATCTCTGAGTGAGTGGTTCTACCCACCCCCAACCTTGTCCTGTTTTCCCATTTTTAATTTTCTTCCCATTAATTTATTCCCATTAATCTTCTCTCTTTCTTCATATACTTTGGTAAAACATTCCCCTCCTTGTATTCATACCCTTCCAATACTGTTGATTCTAAATATGATTGAATATTGTCACTTTTCTTTATGCTCTAGCCTGACTCTTGAATTCATTTTGATTTCCACAGCTCTGGCGGAACTTTCATTTAGTCTGATGCCTGCCATAACTGGAATTGTCAGTGCTACCATACAAAATACAGGTTTCAGTCTCCCCTTGGCACACTGATTATCTGGCATTCAGTGTCAATTCTTTACATTTTATAGCAATGTTTAATAGTTATAAATCTTAGTTCTATAAATAGTCTTTATGAAATTGTACCCCTCTTTTTTACAGCTGGAAGAAATAAGTACTTGTCGCTATAAATGAAGTTCATTACAATCTTATAATCATATTAAACACCTTTAATGAGAAAGAACTGAAAAACTTTAATAAACGCTAAATAATGTGTTATTTTACCTCCATACACCAGAGCTTCTATTTCTTCTACCGAGCTGCCTCTGTAAAGTCTTCTCATTGACAGCTCTGGAGCATGCATTGATTTCTGCCCGTCTCAAAGGAGATCCTCCGCTTCTACAGCTAAATCTGCAGAGAAACAGGTATTTTTTTGCTGGCAAGCTACTTTAAACAGTGCAAGTTTATAAAACTCCTCTGTTAGCTTTCTGTGTCTACAGCATGAGCTTTGTTCTCCTGGCTAGGTCACTGTGAGAGAAGGGGTTGCCATGTTTCTGACCGCGACAGGCGTGTGGCCTCTTTCTCTTTCTGTGTCTCGCTCGGGGCTTGTGCGGTGCCTTGCTCAGGTATCAGTCATCTGGTATCCTGTAAATACACTGGTATCAAAAGGAGAAAGAGAAGATCGGAACTGGAAGAAAGCCTGAAGTAGCAGAGGGGAGGAAATAAATCCAGCAGCATGGGAGAGTTACTGAAGAAGGAACAGCAGGGAAAGGCAAAATTTGCAGGGAAAATATTAATCTCAAATATATTAAGTACCTCATTAGCCTTGAAAGTGTCGAAAAAATAAAACGCTCTGCATTAGCACAGAAAATGGAAATTCTAAAGCTGATTTTTTTGCTCAGCCCATGATAATGGAATAATCAAATGATTAATGATAAAATTTTTCATCAAATAGCTACCGCCTAGCCATTTGATATTGTACACATATAGATACGTAGTGCCGGGTTTTGCAGCGCAGATCAATTTCCGATGTCTTAGCCATTTTCAGTCTAAATATCCTAAATGAGGAGATACCAAGTATCCTATCACGTTTCCATGATGACAGTTACTTGCCAGATATTTATCTTTAGCTTGCCTGTATTTAACTTGATCCCGTTATTCCAGTACTCCTGCCTTCTTCCATCATGAGCGATTTCTCTCCTTTCTCACATGTTTACAGCACGGAGTAGTCACTCCTTAGTT